CTCTCTCTTTTTTTTAAGAAATTCATTCAGAAACTAAGGAAAGTCTTCCATCCAGAGTGAAGCAACAGGAATCTACTGGAATGGGAGAAATTCAGTTTGCTAAAAGCATTTTACTAATCTGCTCAGAAATGATTACCTGCTGAACTGTTTTAAGGTTCTAACATAGGTGATGATAGTGCAGTGTTGATTAACGTGATTGATGAGGATGGTAGCTGGTTGTGGGAGCCAATAATATGGGTTGACATTAGTGTATTTATGTGTATACACATAATCAGATTAAATCCACAGAAGTGGATTGTATGTGGAAATTTAACTTGGAAAATTGTGTCAGGATTATATTTTGTAGCAACAAAATGAGGAAGGGTATCATTAGAGAACTCTGTGATTAGTGTAATGGAGGCTCATGTGGGTTTCAAAAGTTCACATGACCTTATACAAGTCAGAGCACACAAAATACCTTCTTGTTTTTTCCTCTCTTTTTCCTTCCATTTTTATTACCTAAATAATAATTTTAAAAAGCTTTCATTCAAGAAAAGCATTCAGGCATTGAAAGCTATTTGGGCAGTATTTAATGCAGTATTGAAACAAACCCATTCCTTCCCCCCTCTACTCTCTTCCTGTCTCCTTTCAGCCTTTTAGATAAGCACTTTATTGCTATTGGATATGTTGCACACTCACACCCATACTTATATTGCTGCCTATCACATATATGATGATATTAAATGTCTCACAGCAACATTCCACAACAACAAACAAACAAACAATAAATAAATAAATATCCACAAAACCCCGCGGTAATGTACATGTATGTGGAACTATTCACATTTATGCATATATTCCTTATCTCTTTAGACATAAGTAAGGGGTGAATGAGTTGGGTACATAGTCTCTCTCATGCTCTTTCTCTACATGAGCCACTTTAAAACCAGCAACTTTTTAAAACTTTTAATTATTTTTTTAAATTAAAAAAATAAGGGATTTGAGACTTAACATATGAAGAATGGTTACAGGAACTGGGCCTGGCAAGTCTAGTGAAGAGAAGGACCAAGGGAGACATGATAGCAGTGTTCCAATATTTGAGGGGCTGCCACAGAGAGGAAAGGGTCAAGCTATTTTCCAAGGCACCCAAAGGCCAGACAAGGATAATGGATGGAAACTGATCAAGGAGAGATTCAACCTAGAAATTTTCTGACAGTGAGAACCATCAACCAATGGAACAGCTTGTCTTTGGGAGCCTCATCACTGGAGGCTTTCAAGAAGAGATTGGACTGCCATCTGTCAGAAATGGTGTAAAGTCTCCTGCTTGCGTGGGGGATTGGACAAGATGACCTACAAAGTCCCTTCCAACTCTATTAATCTGTTAAACTTTTCTGCTATGTTTGCAGTTGATCCACTTCCATAGATTTTTAGAGAGCTGAGATTGCCTTGAAGGCATCAATAACACCTCAACAATAGGGTATCAGCAAAGCTGATCTCTTTACATGAAAGTAATGAAAGCCATTCTATAGGGAATATTTGGATGAATGCAGGAGTTAGTTACTGTGTTTTATACACTCTTATATACTGTAGAACTATCTGTTATAATTGCTTGATGTTGGGATATCAGATGATCCTCTAATTCTTGTCTTAAAGAAAATGACATTTTTATTTCAGGGAATGCTTCAAAATAAAATTAATATACATCTAAATATATTCCCCAAAATAGAATTCCATAAATGTTTATTTTATTTTATTTATGTGATTTATGTGATTTATTTTATGTGATTTGTATGTCGCCCTATCTCGGTAGACTCAGGGCGAGCAATAAAAGAGTATTGAGTTTAAAGAGTATTTTTAAAGATCTTCTTTAAAAGGATATGGTTTTTAACTAAGAACTTGTAAATGATTGCATGCACATTTTGAAAGATATACAATATTTCCAATATCCACATGTTGCCAGGTAAACAAAACAATATCAAATTGTTAAAATAGTTTGACATAGTTATTGTTCTAATTCCTTTTGTAATATTATTAACTTAAATATGTTTTATATTATTGTTTGTCAGCTTTAATAGTGCCCAGAGTCATTATTATGAGATGGGCAGTCATATAAATTGTTTAAATAAATTATTACTATTATTATTAATGTCATCATCAAATTATTATTAATAATGTCATTATTAATGAAGATGTGCTATAGTTTATGACTTGAAGTCAGTACAATAGCAATGTGGAGCGGCAGAGGTAGAAGACCTGGCTCACATCCTATTTGACTGTTGCATGTATAAGGGGGTGAGAGGCAGGTACCTTGGTCCATATGCCAAACAAATGACCCATTGGGGTCCCCATATCAAAACAACTTACTTTATGTATGGTCAAAACCTGAAAATAGCATTTAACACAGCACAGTACTTAAATGGTTCAGTTGAGATCTGCATATGTGGGACTGATTGGGGTAGATTGTAAAGGTGACACCGAAATATAATTTTATGTCATTTTACTCTATTTTATATATTTATATATCAAATTATATTGTATCTTATCCTATAACTACTTTATTTTATCCTACTTTTATTTTAAATTGTTTGTATAAGATTTTATTGGTGATATGTGTTTGCACCTTATTGCTTTGATATGGCCTATAGGCTAATCAATAAAGCTAACTGAACTGAAATGTTTTGTTTATATGGAAAAAAGTATAAGGGGACAATATCTTTATAAAATATATAATATCAATTTTCTTTGTAAGAATGATAAGAATTTAAATTTTAAAAAGGGGAATAAAGTAAATGTCTGAGGAGAAACCAAACATTTACTGTTGGAGTGAAATGACTACTTAGAATGATCTTACTCCAAATACAAATTAATTTTAAAAGATGTAAGAAAAAGCTAAAATGGATACTTCAATGAATGCAATGCTTCAAAAGGCAGAATGAAATATACAAGTGTATTCAGGTGTTTATTTTATATCTTTCATGACAAAGTCATCACAGAGAAGTTAATATAAGAAAATAAATGAGTACTTCTCTTATTTAATAAAATATAATAATTTAGGAGAATATTATTATGATTTTGTCATAATACAGAGTTTGTGAAATCCTATAACAATCTAAGAGTAAAAATAATGGGAAAAATTGTTTTTCTCTAACAGTGGCTCATTTATGGTAAAATAAATTATTTCCTTAATTGCTTCCTTCATAGCTTTATTTTTCAGATTGTAGATTACTGCTTTGAACATAGGTGTAGGAATGCTATAATGGATCAAAAGAAGTCGATCCAAAATGAATGAATTTTGTATAAAAGATGTATATAGAATAAAACTACAATAAGATGAAAATTGAAGTTTGAAAATGCTTTATTTCTGTCTTCTGCTGAATAAATATTCAAGATGTTGGCAATAATATAAATGTTATTTATCATTAGGTGAGGAGGAAGGAGATAAAGTCAAAGAGAAAAGCAAAAAGATATTATATAATTGGAACATCCCTCATCATAAGACAACAGCAAAGGGGAAGATATTTCATAGCTATAATGTTTTATTTGATTATTCCTGCAAACATGTAATTTCACCAAAGAGGGTTATTTTGCTGTCATACTAGAAATCCATAGCCCAAGCTCCATCTAATAGCTCTCTGCAGAGTTAATGCTTGGAAAAATAGCTAGCAATTTTTATCATAAATTATTTACCATAATCTATTACTGTTTTAAATAAAACAATTTCTCTCTTATTACACTACTGAACAAATGTTAATTCCAAAGTGAATATGTTATGTTCATCTTTCTACCCCATTATATTGGTTGGAAGTGGGGTTATTGCAATGACTTGAAACAGGCAAGTTATGGATTATTAAAGGAAGAAATTAAAATATCAGGGAAAGTTATGTACCAAGTCAAATATTGATGAGGAGTAACCCCCAAGAGAGATAGGACATTTGTGGGGTACATCTGTACAAAAAAGTGGTTGGACATAACTAGGAGAGGATTGAAAGGCTCTATTGTTTTTACAAAGAACTTGATTAGACATAGATTTTCATAATATTGTTACAAATATATATGGGATTATTTACATAGAGATTATCCTGCAATGAATGTGGGATTATAATTTGGAGATATCAACCCATTGATAACAACTGATCCTCACTCTTGACTCTTGGTATAGTTAGAGTATCATAAAGTAAACCAATATCCTAAGAAATCAGCTCACTGAGTGACATGGAAATGTATTTATTTACTTTTTAAACTTAAATATACAGAATCAGCAACTAACAAAGCAACTGTATATAATGGTCACATAATGAAGGATCTGATTAAGAAATTTACCAGTGGAGATGGATTTGAAAAACAGCCTATACAACTTCAACAAATTCCTTCCCAACTAGGAGAGGAATCATCAGTCAGATATATACACTGCTCAAAAAAATAAAGGGTACACAAGCAGAAGACATCCGAGATCTGAATGAATGAAATAGTCTTATTAAATACTTTGTTCATTACATACAGTAGTTTTGTGTTCCCTTTAGTTGTTTAAGCAGGGTATAAACTACTGCATGTAAAGAACAAAGTATTTAATAAGGCTATTTCATTCATTCAAATCTCAGATGTCTTCTGTTTGTGTTCCCTTTATTTTTTTGAGAAGCATATATAGCAGAAAATGTTGCAGATTTAATAAATTATGAGGTTTTGTTTTTGTGTCTGTTTTTGTAATTTTATAATCTCCCTCCCCTCCCTCTAAATTACACACACACATGCACACACACACACTTCAGTTAATACTTTATTGATAGGCCTGTTTTATGGGCCTATCAATACCAAATTTCTAGATATAATCTCCAAAAATATATATAGGAAGGAAAGGAAAGGAAAGGAAAGGAAAGGAAAGGAAAAGAAAAGAAAAGAAAAGAAAAGAAAAGGTATTTTTTTAGATGAAAACACAGTTTTTGTAACCTAAACTGAAATAAATTTATTCAGAAATATGTGAAGAGTTTCAGATAAAGAAACTAAAGCTTGAAATAGATTGATATTCATTGGTTTATTTGCTTAATAATCAGGAATTGCTTAATAGCTTCCCTTACTTCTTTAGTCTTAAGACTGTATATGATTGGGTTTAACATGGGTGTAGAAATGCTATATTGTACAGAGGAGAGTTCATCCATAACAACTGAAGAGATTGAATTGGGTCTCAGATACCGAAAGTAGCCAGTCACATAGAATAAAGCCACCACAATGAGATGAGAACTGCAGGTGGAAAAGGTTTTCTTCCTAGCTTCTGCTGAATTCATCTTCAGGATTGTGATGAAAATATTGATATAGGACACTAGAGTAAGTGAAAATGTGAACATCCCAACTATGCCACCAGTAACATAGAACATTATTTTACTTGCTGTGGTTTCAGTGCAAGACAAGGCAAGAAGAGATGGAAATTCACAAGAGAAATGTCTGATAATATTTGGACCACAGAATACTAGCTTCAGTACAGGCACGGTATTTGCAATAGCATATAATAATCCAGTTGTCCAAGCACTTCCCACTAACTGTTTACAAAATAATACATTCATTGTTTCTATATAATGAAGTGGATCATGTATGGCAATGTATCGGTCATAAGCCATTGCTGTAAGAATAAATACTTCTGCACCACCTGTTAGAAGGATGAAAAACATCTGAGTAATGCACTTATTATAGGAAATGGTTTGACCATTGAAGAAATTGAGGAGAACTTTAGGGACTGTGACTGAGGAATAGCAAATATCCAGAAAAGAAAGGTGACTCAGGAAAAAGTACATGGGATTTTGAAGATGACTACAGTTCCTTATTACCATTATGATGGCAATATTCCCCATTAATGTTATTACATAAATGAGTGAAAACACACAAAAAAGAAAGATCTGGACTGGAATGTTATATGAAAAACCAGATAAAATGAAATAAGTCACCGTGGCATTGAGATTTTCCTCTTCCATTTCAGCAAACCACCATCTATAGTGTGGACAAAACATTACAATATTATACAATATAAATATTATACAATAAAACATATTACAAATAATAGATAAACAAGGATGATTTATCTGAACAAAAATCAGATATAATATATCATATCAAATAATTAAAGGAATAATAAGCATGTAACCTTCAGCCAAAATTTAATATTCTTATTCCATAAAAATAATTTCAGTTATTCCATTAATGATACTTCAATAATCATTAACTTTTATTAATCCAATCATTTATTTATTTAAAATGTGTAAACACAGTTTTCTTAAAGGTGATTACTTTGGATTCATAGTTTTTTTTTTGGTAAGTCTTTCAAAAAAGACAACATGAAGAGAATATATTTTGAAATTGTGATTGGTAGTATGGAAGAAAATACTATCTATTGCAAACTAAAGGCATATATGTTGATGATAACTGGAAACATATTGAAGCTGAACCTTAATCATCTAAGAGCTTGTGAGCCAATCTTTACAAAGACACTCTAACATTTTGTGTTGTTCATCTAGAAAGTGTTTTGATACAGGACCTATACATACATAATATCACATAGCTCCTATCTTTTCTTTATCACAGAGAATGAACTTGAAAACATAATTTTGATGATATTGAGAAGTTCTGGGAGATAACAATTATGCCCCTTACAAGCTGAAGTGTTATTTGTTCCCCAGATTTTCCTTTAGAGTAATGTAGCTGAAAGTAGTACTTGAAACAATTTTTGAAAACTATATTAGGATTATTTTGCTTTTATTTTGAGGGAAATTCTTTTTTATTCTTTTTAAAAGAATAAAAATAAAAATATGTAGAACAAAAAAACCAATTATATACTAAAACTTCTAGGCCAGTCTTTTTTTCTTGAAAGTTTTTTTTTTATTTGATTTATATGTCGCCCTTCTTTGGAGACTCAGGGCGGCTTACAATGCGCTAAGCAATAGCCTTCATCTTTTTGTATATTTATACAAAGTCAGCTTATTGCCCCCACAACTGGGTCCTCAATTTACCTACCTTAGAAAGGATGGAAGGCTGAGTATAGTACATATAAGGAAAATATGTAATAATATGTTCCTATACTATAACCAAACTGAATATTTTTGTTAGCTGTACTTCTTCTGCAACATTGTAAAATCATATGTACCATTTAAAAAAAAAAGGTTTGTGTCTATTTTGTTATAATAAATGCATGGATTTGATTATCCATAAAATAGATGCATAAAATATGAAAAAGAATTGGGAAAAAAATTTGATATGCTTCAGAAAGGCTTGCCTGTTCAATTAAATCATGGACAAATGTTATTTATAATATTGGAACAAATGGTAAGGAGATACCAAACCACAAAAACATGGAGAAGAAGTGGAAAGACTTATCCCCAATGGCCAATTAATAGTGTGTGAGTGGGTCTCTTTGTTTTTCAGGCTGTATATAATTGGGTTTAACATTGGAGTTAAAATCTTATACTGAATAGAGATCATTTTATCCAGATTCATGAGGGATTCTAAACATTCCTTTTGCCAGTACAGCATTATTCAAATCTTTGGGCAGGGGGGAACTTGACTGTTGTGTCAAGTTATTATATATGTACTTTTTAGACATGTTTGAAGGAATCACAACTTGGTTTCAGGAACAATAGATAAATGATATATTACCTGAAAGACTAAAGTGTATGCAACAAAAGTTTGGTAATCATAATTTCCTGTAGATTTTTAATAAAAGCATTATGGACAGGAGTAAGGACAACCAGTTTGTGATTGATGAAAGCAGAATCAGGGTGCAGTCACACAAGCTGCAACTTTTGTACTTGCACTGTCAAGTTGCAAAGAAATATAAAAGAGTATGTAAATTATGTAAATTATATGTATGTGTGTGGTTGCAGTGCAGAGATAGAAAGGGGACCTTTGTATTGAATGTATTGGGGTATAATTAAATTACATTAACAGACCAACATAATCGAGTTTAAAAGGGAAATAACAATGTTACATTTAATAGAGAAGGACACCAAACTAGCTCTCCTTAAAATGACTTACTCCTTAGTTAAGAATCCAAGTCTAATTATTCTTAAATTAATGGGCAAAGAGCTGAAATCACCAAGTAACTCTGCTACTTGATTGCAGCTATTAAAGCATATGTAGACTTCTTTTTTTCTTCTTTTCTCTCTTTCCTGTTATAACTTCTGCCAATGACAGAACTAGAAGTAAAGATAACTCTAAACTGGAGAAATTCTCTAATTCGAACTGTCTAATTCAGCATGCCTGAAGTAGGAATGAAAACAATTTAGTCATTGGTTCTTAGAAGAGGAGTTGGCCAGAGTATTTGACTTTTTCCTTCTCTTTGCCTGAAAACCAGGAAGTTATTTTTGTAATTTTGGTTGATAGTACAAAAAACAGATATTACTGCAGACATGATACAGAGTATTTTTACATATATTCAAATACATTCAAGTGTTCTGAGTAATTCATCTGATATCTAATTGTGTCCTCTGAATGAGACAAGGAGTATAACAGAAAGGATGACAATTAATGATATATGTAGGTGACTTGTTTAAAAGTAAGCATTAATTTATTCATTTATTATTGTTGTACATATCATCCATTCCAATATCAATATAAGGCATACAAAACACATATAAATTATCTATAAAATTTTATATGTTTCAAAAAATAATGAATCTAACTAAACAGATACTGAATACTGAATAATTAAAAACAATTCAAAACAACTTTCTCACCAGAATTGAGCTAACTGAAATGAACAAGTCTCCCATAGTATAACTAACAACCAAGAAAGTAAGCAACTATCATTCAACCCAAAGTTTTGAGTTGATTTAGATTTTGACTTTTAATATATCTAGATCTTAAATAAAATTTCCCAAATATTCTATTCTAAGTTGGAAAAGGCTCTGACGATCCCAGCTGAGTTGCCTGATCGGCAGAGACTTTTTTTTTTTAAATGCCTCTGACGATCAGGCAACTTAGCTTGGATCGTCAGAGGCATTTAAAAGAAAAAACGGGTTTTTTTTTTAAAGCCTTTGATGATCCCAGCTGAGCCACACGATCATCAGAGGCTTTTTTTTTTACTTTTAAAAGCATTTTTTCGGCCGAAGAGGTTGTAGAAAAAATGCTTTTAAAAGTAAAAAAAAAGCTTCTGATGATTGTGCGGCTCAGCTGGGCATGGGGGGGGGGCAGGGATTTTTGCTACCGGTTCTCCAAACCACCCGCCTCCATCACTACCGGATCGGGTGATCTGGTCCGAACTGGGAGCATTTCACCCCTGGTCATAGGGAACAAATATGCAATCAAATCATATTAGGAAACAGTCAATATAAATCGTAAGGATACCAGCAACAAGGTTACAGTCATACAGTCATAAGTGGGAGGAGATGGGTGATAGGAATGATGAAGTAGATTAAAAGTAACACAGACTTAATAACTATTTTGACAGTGTTGAGGGGATTATTTGTTTAGCAGAGTGATGGCGTTCGGGAAAAAACTGTTCTTGTGTCCAGTTGTTCTGGTGTGCAGTGCTTTATAGCGTCATTTTGAGGGTAGAAGTTGAAACAGTTTATGTCCTGGATACTAGGGGGCTGTAACAGGGGTGAAATGTAAAATGTATTACTACCGGTTTTGTGGGTGTGGCTTGTTGGGGGGGTAATGTGACTGGGTGGGCGTGGCCAACATTTTTTTTTTTACTTTTCAAAGCATTTTTTCTAATGCTTTGAAAAGCCTCTGGCCATCAGGCAACTCAGCTGGGATCGTCAGAGACTTTTCAAAGCATTTTTTTAAACCACCTCTTCGGCCAAGAAGTTGTAGAAAAAAATGCTTTGAAAAGCCTCTGAGGATCCCAGCTTTTTTTCGTCGGAAGAGGTTGTAGAAAAAATGCTTTTAAAAGTAAAAAATAAAAGACTCTGATGATCGTGCGACTCAGCTGAGCATGGTGGGGGGGGGCAGGGATTTTTGCTACCAGTTCTCCGAATCACCCGCCACCATCACTACTGGATCGGGCGATCTGGTCCGAACCGGAAGCATTTCACCCCTGGTCTGTAAATATTTTCACAGCCATCTTTTTGGTTCTTGCAATATAAAGGTCCTCAATGGAGGCACGTTGGTAGTAATTGTTTTTTCTGCAGTTCTAATTATCCTCTGAAGTCTGTGTCTGTCTTGCTGGGTTGCAGAACCATACCAGACAGTTATAGAGGTGTAGACGACAGATGCAATAATATATATAATATAATAATATATTCAATAGGATTCAGTGGAGCAAAAATACCATCTGAATTGACTAACAAGGAGTCTAAAAACCTGAAGAGGGAGCTGAATTTCTCCAAAATTAGGAGAATTTGTGGAGTGGGAGGGGGGGTTAAGGGAGATGTGGGGATCTTCTCCAGCTGTTTGTACCATACTTAGTTTCCAGTGTGTAGCTAGATAAAGAGCTACAGTTCCCAGTACAGCTCAGTAACAACTAAATGTTCGCTAAGAAAGATTTATTTATAAGACACCAAAGATGGCATTTAATTCATGCCTATTGCACTATTCTTGATCTCTGACTCTGATCAGAAGAACTGAATATAACTATTTATTATTACCCTTTTGTATAAACATCCATCTGTGGGCATTCTATTGAGAAAGGATAAAAATAGCAATACTTGTGCAAGTTAAGTCCCCTGGGGAAAGAAAAACATACACATTATATTTAGATAAATGGTAGCAATGATATGAACGGGGGGGGGGGGGGAATCCTTGCTATATGCTGAGGGAACAAATTGATTCTAATACCAATTAACTGATCATAGATAAGTTTACATTAAAAAGCTATATAAGGGTGCTATATTGGTTGAATGCTATTATAAACATTAATTCTGAAAATCTCTAGCACTAAATATTTGTCCCATATCATTTGCAGGCATTCCTCTGTCCCAGGGATTTTAGATTTTATATCTTCATTTCATACAGTAGAACAGTGTTTCCCAGTCTTGGC